TCTCCATCTGCTGTGTGCAAAGGTTCTGACTGGGCAGGACCAGCTCGATTGATGGACCCTCGGGTGATGACCATCCACGTTGCTTTTGCCAGGTTCATTTCCCAGTTTCTAAGTGTTCCCCCACCAAGTGCCTTTAGGGTAGTCTTAAGGAGTCTGTTGCACCGTGCAACTTTGCCGGCAGCTGGAGCATGATAGGGAATATGATATATCCATTCGACACCATGTTCTCTGGCCCATGTGTTGATAAGGCTGTTCTTGAAATGGGTGCCGTTGTCAGACTCAATTCTCTCAGGTGTGCCATGTCTCCACGGGACTTGCTTTTCCAGGCCTAAGATGGTGTTCTGGGCAGTAGCATGAGGCACAGGGTAGGTCTCCAGCCATCCAGTGGTGGCTTCCACCATGATCAGCATGTAGCACTTGCCTTGGCGTGTCTGAGGCAGTGTGAGGTAGTCAATCTGCCAGGCCTCCCCATACTTGTACTTGGACCACTGCCCACCATAGGAGCTTCACCCGCTTGGCCTGTTTGATGGCAGCACACATCTCACAGTCATGGATATCCTGAGAAATACTGTCCATGGTTAGATCCACCCCTCAGTCTCGTGCCCACTTGTAGGTGGCATCTCTGCTCTGATGACCTGAGGCATCATGAGCCCATCGAGCCAGGAACAACTCACCCTTATGGTGCCAATCTAAGTCTATCTTTGACACCTCTATTCTTGCTGCCTAATCTACCTGCTCGTTGTTTCGGTGCTCGGTGCTCCTCATTAGCCCGAATTTTGGGGACATGGGCATCTACATGACGGACCTTCACTGTTAGTTTCTCCACCCGAGAGGCAATGTCTTTCCATATATCAGTAGCTCAGGTTGGTTTTCCTCTATGTTGCCAGTTGGCCTTTCTCCACCTTCCCAGCTAGCTTCACAGAGCATTGGCTACTGTCGGAACTCAAAATGTCCCTCAGACATTTTTAGAGGTTCCAGGCCTCGGTCAGAAGCATTTTAGACCCTGGCAAGCAGCAGAAAACAGCTGTGATCTTGAGTTTGAACCATGGAATAAATTACCAACTTTAAAGGTGGAACAAGCGGTCACAGAGAGTTAGATGGTATAAAGGTAGAGCTTTGGCTACTTCTCCCTTTCAGCAATGTCCAGAGCCAGCTGAACAGCCTTGAGTTCAGAGAGTTGGCTCAATCCACCTTCTCCCTCGGTAGCTTGTGCAACTTGTCCTGTGGGGCTCTATACGGCTACTTTCTACTTCCGGTTCATCCCTACAATGCGACAGGAACTGTCAGTGAAAAGAGCGTAGCATGTTTCATCTGCTGGTAGTTGGTTATATGGTGGAGCTTCTTCAGCCCTTGTTGCTTTTACCTGGTCCTCGATGTCAGTGAGACCAAAGTTTTCACCTTCTGGCCAGTTTGTAGTTATCTCCGAAATCCCAGGGCAATTCAGTTTCCAATACGGGCGCGCTGAGTGATGTGGGCAATCCATTTGCTCCATGTGGCGTCAGTGGCATGGTGGGTAGTAGGAACCTTTCCTCTGAACATCCACCACAGCAGGTACCAGGAGGAGTTGTGCTTCCATACTAATCACTTCCGAGGCGGCTTGAACTCCTTCATAGGCAGCCAAGATTTCCTTCTCTGTTGGGGTGTAGTTGGCTTTGGACCTTCTGTAACTTTGGCTTTAGAATCTCAGTGGTCGGCCTTGAGTCTCACCAGGCACCTTCTGCCAAAGGCTCCAGGACAAACCATTGTTCCCGGCTGCAGAGCAGGGCACGTTCTTGACCTCTGGTCCCATCCTGACTGGGCCAAGGGCTACTGGATGAGCAATATCCTGCTTGATCTGGGTGAAGGCTTGTTGCTGCTCAGGGCCCCAGTGAAAATTGTTCTTCTTGCGGGTAACCAGGTAAAGAGAGCTATACTTGGGAATGTGCATTCTCCAAAAACCTGTGGCACCTAGGAAAGCTTGTGTTTCCTTTTTGCTGGTTGGTGGGGACATAGCTGTGATTTTGTTGATGAATTCAGTGGGAATCTGGCACCGTCCGTCTTGCCATTTCACTCCCAGGAACTGGATCTCTCGGGCAGGTCTTTGCTCTTCTTGATGGCGAAGCTAGCTTCTAGCAATATCTGGATGATCCTCTCACCTTTTTCAAACACTTCTGCCACTGTGCTCCCCCACATAATGATATCATCGATGTACTGTAGGTGTTCTGGAGCCTCCCCTTTTCTAGTGCAGTCTGGATCAGTTCATGGCAGATAATGGGGTTGTGTTTCCACCCCGGGGCAGTCAGTTCCAGGTGTACTGCACGCCCCCCCAGGTGAAAGCAAACTGAAGCTTGCGTTTTGCTGCCAGAGGAATGGAGAAAAATGCATTAGTAATATCAATAGTGGCATACCACTTTGCTGCCTTGGACTCCAGCTCGTACTGGGGTTCCAGCATATCCGGTACAGCAGCGCTCAGTGGTGGAGTCACTTCATTTAAGCCACGATAGTCTATAGTCAATCTCCATTCTCTGTCAGATTTGTGCACAGGCCAGATGGGGCTGTTGAAGGGTGAGTGGGTTTTGCTGACCACCCCTTGGCTCTCCAGCTCACAAATCATTCTGTGGATGGGGATCATGGCATCTCGATCCATCCGCTACTGCCCGCGGTGCACTGTCGAGGTCGCAATTGACACATGCTCCTCTTCCACCCTTAGGAGTCCTACTGCAGACAGGTTTTCTGACAGTCCAGGCAAGGTGTTTAATTGCTTAATGTCCTCTTCCTCTACAGCAGCTATTCTAAAAGCCCACCTGAGTCCCTTTGGGTATTTGTAATAGCCGTTCTGGAGGAAGTTTATGCCTAGTATACATGTAGCGTCTGGGCCAGTCACTGTAGGATGTTTCCTCCACTCCAAGTCAGGCTCACCTCGGCTTCTACCAGGGTCAATTGCTGCGATCCCCCTGTCACACCAGCAATGGAAACAGGCTCTGCCCCAGCATGTCCTGATGGTATCAGAGTACACTGTGCGCCAGTATCAACTAAAGCATCATATTTTTGTGGCTCTGATGTGCCAGGCCATTGGATCCACACTGTCCAGAAGATACGATTTTCCCATGCCTTCCTGGCTAGAGACAAGGCCCATATTATTCCTTTCCTGGGCATACATACTAGAGGTTCCTTCAAGGGGATCTGACAGATGGTACCCAAAAACTTGGCCATGGGAGGTTGAGGCTACCTTTACATTGGTGGAACTCCCCCGGTTAGAGTTTCCCTCCTTGAGTTGACGCACCCGTGCTATGGGTTCCACATCTGTACTTTAGAATAACCAAATAGAATACATGGTTATCTTACAAGCCAGGACGCTCATGTTTACACTTAAGTTTTTTTAGGGAATATTTCTCTTCACCTTAAATTTTATGTGTCCTTCTCACGACCTGTAACTAGGCCTTTGGTAGCCCAGTTAGTTTTGCTTAGTAGTTAATTTTTTGAATAATAAACACTTGCTTATTTTAGGAAATTCTTGCTCACTTCTCACTTTTTTTTCAAAGAATACAGTGTTAAGTTATGCTGGTTGTTTTGGAGTGTAAAAAAGATACAGTAAATTCTATCTGTTTTTTGCAGAAACTGTTACATTAGTCCTTCTTTTCTTTTAGGCATCCACCTTTGGCATTCTGGCAAGATCAAATGCATAAATATACACTGTCAGGGACTTCAGCAGTGATAGGAAACAACTAAGTCGTGGAGTCTTGGAGGGAGATGTGTTGAGAAGACTAAATTTCTCATTCTTGCATGTTGGCTCATAGTTTTTATGCCCTGAATATGGTACTGAGAAACAACACAGGTTTATAAATTTGTAGCTTTAAGATGATGGTATAAGAAAAAAGATGATCACTTTGCCCAAGCTTTTTCTGAAAATTGATGTTCAGCAAGTATCAGTTATTGCTGATAACTGTATTAAGAGTTACTTAACTGTGTTCTGTAGTTCTAGTTACAGAATTAGTTTCCAAATTATCACTGATGTGTTGGAAGATCACAGAATCAATTAGGCTGGAATAGACCTGAGAGAGCATTAAGTACAACCTCTGACTGAAGACCACCACGTCAGAATGTCACTCAGTGCTGTGGTCAGTCTTTCCGTAAACACCTCCAGGGATGGTGACCCCACCACATCTCTGGCCAATGTCTAAGCACCCTTTTTGTGAAGAAATCCCCCCTAATATCCAACCTAAGCCTCTCCTGGTGGAGCTTAATCTTAAGATCATGTTACATGTTATAAGAAACACGGCATGTCTTCTAGAAGATGCCCTAGGAAAGTACTTCAAGAATCTTGTGGTAAAGAACCTTTTCTTTACATCAGGAGATACTAAAAAAGTTTGGATTTCCATTTAGGCTGCATGTGTATGCTTCTGCTTAATCTCATGTCACTTCATTTAGTTCTATGAGACTCTGACACATGGGCATGTTGAACACTGAAATGAGATTTCATTAATGTGTGTAAACCACAGACTGATTCTGGAGCTTTTTTTTTGCTTGTTTTGGAGTTATAATTTGGAATGGTGATACTTGACTTCTGCTAACCTATTACTATTTGGTGGAAGGATTTGGTATTTTTATTAAGATCCTAGGACAAGACTTGTAAAGATACATCTCTCAAGTATTAGGTATTTGGAGTTTTTTTTCAACCTGTTAAGCTGCATATTAATGCCATGTTCTGAAAAAATGTAGGACATACCATCTTCATGCTTTGGAGAAACATACTGTTTTTTAGCTGTTCCATCATGTGTCTGTTATTTGATTTGGATGTTGGACTCTGGCCCAGTAGAGCAATACAAGATGTAAATACCCATATAAGCACTACTCTAAATGAAGGACATTTAGTTTTCTCTTTTTTTAGTTGCCAGTCATTTCAGAAGAAACATTCAAACTTTCTGTGTGGCTTGGAAGCAGTAGGGCTAGTTTGGCTGGTAGTAGGTTAGTATATTAGTTTTTAGGATTTGTTTTAAATGTTGTTTTTGTTTTTAAATCAGGAGCCTATGAAGTCAAGAGCACCACAGCTACATTTGGAATACAGATTCTACAAGCAGCTAGGATCTGGAGGTAAAAAGCAGTATAATGCATTTTACTGTAATGTAATCGAGGGTCAATTGGCTGAAGTTTTCTGGTTTAGAGGTATAAATCTGTTTAATGAAGTCTTCCTTACAACTTAAAGCAGAAAAAAGCCTGAGGAGTTAGTGGATTAATGTATAAATTCCACTATTCTAATGTTTTTTTTTCTACTCAATAAAGTGTATCTATGAAGTCCTCACTATTTAATAAATCCTACCTATCACAGCTTTTTTTTTGCATACAGGTATGCTTTGAACTAAGACTATTCCAAGTACAACTCTTTGAAAAAATGCTGTAGATCTCCAAACTGCTAATCCACTAATCAAATATTTTGTATTATAGTTGATATGATATTTAAATTCCTTGAGATGCAGTTTTACTTTACTTCACTTTTATTGATGCAGTATATATTGCTGCTTACTAGTTTTCAACCTCTTAAATACCTTTAGGAGAAATTTAAATGCAGTTTAATGTTTGAATTTCTCCTTTTACTCTCCTTGGTGCTTTTATACCCAGAAGTACTCTTATGGTGGTGGCTTGAATGATCCAATTGTCACCTTTGGTTTTCATAGGAGAGCAATACCTAAAACTTCTCAAATATTTTTGTGCCTTTCACAAAGCTGCATATAATCAGTTAGGAAGATGTGAAGTTTCTTACCCTAATAAAGTGAGTACAGATATTCTCTCAATCAGCTATAATATAGGAAAAATAAATCTTTTGACATATTTTTTTTATTTTTTTAATTATTCCTAGACTAGGTCATGTACTTAACTATTTTTCTCTCTTTTCTTTTACTTCTGTAGAAGTTTATTTTATGAGTGGACAGTGGTTTTCTATATATGCTTTCAGGGGCTTTTTAGCAAAGGCAGCCTGGAATTTAGAACAGTGATTTTGATTGTGCTTAAAATAGAATGAAATCATACTTAGTATGAAAAGTTGTCTCTGAAAAGAAATACACAATGAACATGCCCATACCACTTTGATTTTGTTACCTTGAATATGTGTGTGTTATGATAAATTTTAATACTTTTTAATTACTATTTTCACCTTTTTCCTTAAAATTTGGGATCATATGCTCATTGCTGCACTGACTGGATAGTATTTCTCAGGTAGCTTTCAAAATTTCATGCTACTCGTTTAAAGACTACATTTGGTGAAACAAAGTTTCTAATACGTTCAATTAATATAGACTTTTTTTTTTTGCTGTACTATGAATGCTTTGCAACCAGGAATTTTTAGAGATTACTTTTGGCAAAACACAACATTGTCAATTTCACTTCCTAGATGGAAAATAAAGTTGTAGATAGGTAGTCAGAATCTTGAGTCTATATAGTTGCTGTTTGGAGAAAGTCATCAGAGTATGGTGTATGGTTGTTTTTCGTAAGTAGTTATAAATTGTCAGCATACCATACACTAGCATTGTGAAATAGCTGATGAGTAGAAAGCTGAGATATTAAGTGTTTAACTAATGGGGCATGACAACCTACAAGTTAGGTACATTACCTATCTGTGAATATAGAGGTGTAAGTATCTAAAATTGCAAAGGAGCTGTGTAGTAGAGGTAAGAGTAAAGCTGTAATTTCTAGTTCAGACTGCAGAATATTAGGCAGTGCTTCTCCGAGGTTGGAACCCTTGTAGGAGTATTTACTGAGAAAATGTCTTAGTGTAACTATGTTTACCTTTTTATGTAGTGAATAAGACTGGGAACTGTGCTTAGTGTAAGAGCATAGTCAACTCAAACTCTGCTTTACTTCAGATATCATTCAATCTTCTTAAACCTACTTGCTGGTTGAAACAACTTTTTCTCTGATGCCTTGTTGACATACTAAGAGTTACCTTCTGATTCTTTGCATGAAGATGAGGTTACCTTTAGGGTGAAAAAGCAAAGATAGAGCTGGTGACTTACTAAGCATCATCAGTATTTAAGAAAATCTTTGTTATAGACTTCCTTTGTTTTTGCAATAACCTGCTTTTATTCAAAAGTGAAAGCCTCTCCCAGCTCAGAACCTTTAAAGCTCCATTGTGAGCCTTTCTCAGGCACTCTACTTGAGGCCTATTTTTAATGGTTTTTGTGGCAAAGGGTAATTTTCTTTTTTCTATGTACACAGAAGTTAAAAAAAGATTGTTGATTCCTTATCTTCCGGCAGCAGTTGTAGGGAATGCTGGGCTCCAGGACGGCTTTGATGAATGGAGACGAGAGATCTCTGAAGGCTGCTCTTAGAATATCAGGTTTATTAGGGATGGTGAAAGGTCTTGCTTGGTTGGAGCTGCCAGACGCAGCAAGTGGCAAGGCCTGAGAGGATGGGGGAGGGGAGAGACAAGGGGTAGAGGGGATGCTCTAGGAGAGGGTGGAAGTTCCAAGAGAGCGGAGATTCCAAGAGAGTGAGGATTCCAAGAGAGCATCTGGCCCCTCAGAGACCCCTTATCAGGGGGCTCCAAGGTGGGCTGGAACAAGACTTGGGCCAATGGGGTCACAGACACCTGATGCTTCAGGGGAGGGTTACAGGTGTGGGATGAACCATACATTCTGGGGGGTGAGATGGAACAGTCCATTTGACTTTTGGACCTATCTGTGGGTGAGGGTATTGTCCAGCCAGAAGGGGGTGTTGTTTTCATCCTGGCTGTACTATTGTGAATCTTTTGGCAGGCCATGATATTTATTCATCCTTCCCAACATCTCCCCTGTTCTGATGAACAACTTGAGATATTAAATATTGACTTAACCACTATTTTCTGCACACTCTGAGGTATACAGGGTATTGCTACTAAAACCACACTTATTACTATTGGAATAATCAAGCTTACTTTACAGAGTTCCTTTAGCTAAGGTGGAAAGCTCTAACCATCAAATAAACTGTTCAGCTAAGGTGGATCATCTGTTAACAAATCACTGATTATAGTAGAGGTGTTATTTACTTCTTTACTGAGCCAACATACTAACTTGTTTGACTGCTTAAGTGTAATGGAAGAACTTAACTGAGGTAGTATTATCAAAACCTTCTGGCAAAGGTATACTCTAATTAAACACGTTGAAAAAGGTTTGTTAGGGCTTGTGTCAGATAGACAGATGGTATCAGAGCCTGCAGACTTGGCTAAAGCAGCCCAGACATTTGTGTTTTGTTGACTTACAGGTAAAACTTCAATTACAACAAAAGCAACATGCACGCATGCAAACAATAAAACTCCATTCTTTTCTTGAGCTGTTTCTGGCAGGTCATTTTCTCTTGATGACTCTGCGCAGTTCACGTCTGGGTGCTTGCTTCTTGGCTTGTACTTGCAGAAGCACTGCCCTGGTGCAGGGATGCCAGCAGCCTTCACATTCTTTGCTGGGACCCATTTGGGTCCTCCACCTATAGAAACACAAGCAAACACTTTCCCCCATGTTATAAGATTGTATGGCCCTTCTATTTGTCCTGAATCTAAGGTTTTGATTAAAACTGGGGAGTGCTCCTTTATTTTTGCTTTTTTGTTGTTCAGAAAATGTCTGTAAAGGGGGGGGTGAGGCTCTCCTGCAGAGCTATTTAAAAGATTGTAAACATACAGAGCCTTACTCAACCTCTTTTGAGGTGTAGCCTGATCTACTCCCCCTTTCTGTTGATTTAAAATGCGTTTTAGGGTTTGGTGTGTTCTTTCTATGGTTGTTTTCAGCAGTTGTTTAAAATATGGAGAGGAGATACCACTGTCATTTATTGCTTTTCGCAATTCTTTCACGTCCTGGGAAGGAATAGCTGTCCATGTTCTAGGACCACCGGGTTGCTGGCTGAATACCACAGGCATGGCTCGAGGATTCAGACTTTCCTCTTTGCGACTATCACGTCTGATTCCATGCCAGTCTGTCTGTTGGAGACTATCAACACCTTTCTGGGATTTTTGTGAAATCGGGATAAGAGGGTTAGTGTTTGCAAGGGCAAAACAGTTCTCGTTCTGTCCTTTATTTGTCAAGGCGGCTGCCACATTCCATCCTGCTCCCTCTCACTGCATGGTTCATGTGCCAAGCTGTGGTGAGGTACTGCTTGGACCGGGTGCAGGATGCGGTGGCAGAGGCAGAAGAGCGGGAGGAGTGGAACCTGTCAGCAGAGGCACATGGGAAGAACCTGGAGGTATGGAAGGATATCTTGGAACTGTGGCTGCAGCTGTAGAATGTAGATCTGGCGGAGAAAAGGACGTGGAGGGATATGCATAGGATGCTGTAGAATCATGTTGTGGTGCTGCGGGAAGACTCGTTGGAGGGTGGAGGGCAGCTGGAGGCTGCAGTCGTGCAGGAGCTGCTGGTAGCTGTAAGGCTGGTGTTTCCAGAAGCTGTGAAGGAGGCGGTGTAGGGAGGACTATTTGTGATGAGGCTGTAACAGGATCCGGCTGGGCTGGCTGTGCGGATGGATATGGTGGTAGAGTTGACAAACCCGGAAGTGCTGGTGGCGGCGGTGGCTGGGGCTCCGCATCTAGGACTGTGGGCTGTGACGCTGCCATGGGGGGGCGCGGGGACGTTGGCTGGGTGTCGACTGCGGCATGGGGCGTGTGGGAAGCGGGAGGCTGCATCAAAGGCGCAGTGGGGGTGGCGTGGGGCGGCTGGTCCGGGGGTAACGCTAATTGCGCATGCGCCGGGCGTGTCACGAGGTCCACATGGTGAGGCATCATAGTGGCTGTGACCACCGTGCTGCCGGAGGGCATGGGGACCGGGGCCACAGCTGCGGGAGAGAACTGCCGCGAGTCTGCGAACGCGGGAGGCGGTGGGGGCGTGGCACGGAGCCCCGGAGCGTCTTCCCACGGCTGGGGGGGCTTGGGCTGGGGTGGCATCATGGGGGGATCTGGCCAGGCATTACCACGGGGCAGGGACCGGGGGTTTGATCGCTCCGTTCCGGCGCATGTGTGACGCCGCTCCCCAGTCCTCAGGCACGGGCGTCTCACAGGCTGCAGCACCAGCGGGAGGCAGCGGTGGCAGGCTGCTCATGTCGAGGGCCAGTTGCACTGCCTGCAGAAAGTGCGTCCGCTTGGCTCTGCAAGAGGCCGGCGATGGTGTTGACCGCAGCCACAAAAGACGCCACTTGGGGGGATGGACGCGGTCGGAGAGCAGGGGAAGGGGTGCGCCGGTGCCAAGGAGCACGGGGGGGGGAGGGGGGTGGGGCTGTGAAAGTGGGAGCCGCAATGGCTGATACCAAGTGATGCTGGGGGAGAGGGGCGGGAGTCCCATTCCACACTAGCAGCCGCGTGGGCGAGATTGTCAGAAACCACATGGCCCGGCAAAACGGCCGCCGCCGGCTTCTGTGAAGCAAACAAGTCAGCCACGGTTCTGTAAGCCGGGAGCAATTCACAAGCGTCGGGATCCCGGTGTGAAATATTACTAAAAAGTCTTATTTCCAACTGAGTCCCAAAAATCTCTGGTAAAAATAGCTGAACAATCGGCATTCGGGAAATTAAGCAGAATCCATTCTAGAAGGTTTTTTAACTCTTTCTTAGACAAAGTACTGCTGTAGCTACGTAAGAGATGGTTAAGTTGCTTATAGAGATCCCGATCAGGGGCAAAGTGGGATTGTCCCATTTTTACACCAGTGTAGGTCACCTCGATGTCACAGAAGCAGGGTCCTCTGTCGAGTTCCAACGTACACTCCAGTCGGCGCTCAGGACTCTGTGGGAGGTCCCCTCAGAGCTCTGGTTTCAAGCGTCACTCAGGAACGGCTTTCCGTGCTCGTGACCTCCAGACCCTCAGAGCTCCAGTGTGGGCAGTGCAAAGCAGTGCTCGTATGTGCTCTCTGCACGTGGCAGCGTGCCATGGCAAGACTCCTCCCAGAGCTCCAGGTCACCGCCGCTCCGCAGCGGTCGCCTGTGCTCGAGGATCAGCAGGCACAAATCCTCCAATGGCTCCGAAAACTTGCTACTTGGTAACGAGTCGCGGTGCTCGAGGATTGCCTCAGCAATTTTTAAAGAGCTCCAGCTTCGACGTTGCCTAGCAATGAAATGTCGTGCTCACCACACCGATGAGGAGGGTACAACTGGTTATTTAGTTACCGTCCATGGAGAAGTCTCCCACAGGTAGAAAAGCTGGAGAGGCATCCAGAGAGGTGTGGGTGCAGGTCTGTGTGGGGTTGTCTTCCTAGCTGGGTGGCGGTCTGTAGGGAAGGCTGTGCTCCAGGATGGCTTTGATGAATGGAGACGAGAGATCTCTGAAGGCTGCTCTAAGAATATCAGGTTTATTAGGGATGGTGAAAGGTCTTGGAGCTGCCAGACGCAGCATGTGGCAAGCCTGAAGCGATAGGGAGGGGAGAGACAAGGGGTAGAGGGGATGCTCTAGGAGAGGGTGGAAGTTCCAAGAGAGTGGGGAGTCCAAGAGAACGTCTGGCCCCTCGGAGACCCCTTATCAGGGGGCTTCAAGGTGGGCTGGAACAAGACTTAGGCCAATGGGGTCACAGACACTTGATGTTTCAGGGTAGGGTTACAGGTGTGGGATAAACCATACATTCTGGGGGGTGAGATGGAACAGTCCATTTGACTTTTGGACCTGTCTGTGGGTGAGGGTATTGTCCAGCCAGAAGGGGGTGTTGTTTTCATCCTGGCTGTACTATTGTGACTCTTTGCCAGGCGATTATATTTATTCATCCTTCCCAACAAGCAGTCATCTTTTCTTTGTTTTTAGTAGTTGGGCCCTCAAGTAGAAGTTACGCAGCCTGTGATTTTCAGAAAAAATGTTGCATTATTATGTGGCTTCTTTCTTATGTCATCTGTGACAATTAGTTTTAGTTTACTGATTTTTTTTTTGTGACATGCATGTTTACTGTCAAACATAGATTTAAGTAATTTTATGTCATGAACAGTTGAAAATATAGTGTTGGAAAGTTGATCTAGCAAGCAATAAATTCAGGAAGTATGTAAACCTCCTATGTAAAACAGGAGATAGTGAAAAAAAGCTTTCGTCAGGTCTATCCATATAGACAGTATTGCTTTATGGGTAGTGGTTGCTCTTTGATCAGAGAGAGAATAGATTGAAGTGAGTAGTCTTCAGTATGCAAGTTACAGAAGAGTCTGTTGTACGAGATATAAAAATAGCTGCCATTGCTAGAAGAAATTTGAAGTATAGTAATTGTGAAGATAGAATGTTTCTCTGGTACGCAGTTACGCACGTACTAGAAGCTAAACCCCATGATTTTCACAAATAAGAACTACAGATTCCACAGTTTATGCTACAAATTGACTTATGCTTAGTGTGAAATGACCTGAAGCTTAAGGGGTAAGATTGCGTTAGGCCCTGTGAAATCCTCCTTGACTTGGAGATGGCAGGAGCAGGAGGGAGAGACTTTAATGTGAATGAATACTTTTAGGAGAAAATTAGGTTATTTTCTGGCAATGTTGTCCTGAAAGCAAGGAAAGTGTTATTGTGATTACAGATTATTTTACCTTCAAAACCTTTTTAACAGAACATCTTTATACTTCCACTGATCTTGTAGGCATCCTCGATGAAAAGAGTAGCATTTTGAAATTGTATGTTGTCTTGCTATTTCCTTATCTGCAGCCAGTGTTTGTCTACTAAATTTATTTATTTTTTATAATACCCCTTTTTCTTGCTTTCCTAATGACCTTGTAGCTTGGGAGTTTTTAAAAATACTTGTATTATTAATGTCTGTGCTAAGTCATGCTGTTTTGTGTCTTGAATGCCGTGAAGATGGAAGACATTTTTGACTGAAAAAAGATCAGAGTGTTCTTTTATAGTTCTGCTCGCTGAGAGAACAAGGAGAAAATAGGCGTAAATATGATAGATGTGCAGTTTTTATACACAGGACTTTGGAACTAAGAGTATTAATTCTTTGTATTTAATAAAAAAGTGGTTTTGTCTTGCATGGATAAGAATTACCATTTCAAAACTGTTTGGAGTTTGGAGAGGATCTGCTCATTCAGAAGGCCTAACTGTAACTGTAACTTTACTCTTAAATATGCTCTTTGAAATGCCTGTGAATGTGCAGCAACATGTAGGTGTTTGTCAGGAAAAATATGTGAAGAATCTTTCTTAAAGAGGCAATACTTTCAGTGCTTTTGGGCTTTTTGAAGTGTTTTTAATTTTTTAGGGAAATGGACCTCAAACTTATTCAAAACAACTTTTAAAATTAGTTCAAAGGTGTGGCTTATTTTAGTCTCATCATTATTTAGCTTTCATTTAGGTTTTATATACAAATAGAGATTTTTATGAAAATTGCTTTCTTTTGTCTGTGGTAATTTTGTCATTCAGAAACTACAAGGGTGTTTTCCTCATGGAATTTGAGATCATTTGTCAGTATGCAGAAGTTTCTAGTCAATTGAATGAGGAACATATGGATGGTATTTAGAATAGCTTTGCTTCTAATAAATTTTGTTTAATGTGTATTGTCTCAATATGCAAGTATGAGATATAAGAAAACTATACTATCATAAGTTCAGTACTCCAAATAAAATGATTGCTGAATTGTTATGTGAAATTGTACTAAGACTTTTGGAATTAATCGAAAACAGTTTTGTATTTTTTATTGATTTTTGAGTTAATCTCTGATGCTATCAGCCTTTCTTTTCATGATTAGAAGATAAGGTGTAGATGTCTTTGCAGTATGCTGTGGTTTAACTGACAGAATGGTATTTAGAGTATGGTTCAGTTTCCTTTTGCGGAAAGGCGTCTCTAAATGAAAGAAGTTACGTGTTGAAGAGCATAAAAACGATTCAGCTTTCGTTGTCTGATTTTTCTGACCTCTCTTAATAAATAGGTCATTATCATAATGACTGGGAGTTTTTGCAGGTGAATGAGAACTATATTGTACTTACCTGACAAGTGAAGCAGAAGAATCCAAGCAACTTCTGCTGCTTGAAGTGAATTAGTAGAACTCCTGTTTGTAGTGCTGCTCTTAGAACAGATTTAGAACAGTTCTGTTTATAGCAGTGAGAGGTATCTATTATTAGATTTTTGTTTTTTCATTCAAGGTAATTTTTGAGGTCACGGATCTCCAAACAGGTCACAGATTGGTTCAGCAGTGCATTTCAGCATATGAAACTGTTATACTAATATTTCAGACAAGGCAGATGCTCAGTGTTGTAAATCAGGTTTTATTTTTCTTGACTTTTGTACATCTGTTCTTTTAGCTGAAATCTAGTTAACTCTTCCACTTGAAAAACCGAAAGCCAGACACTTTCTTACAGGGTCACTACTATTGACTAGTCAATGTATAGGGTATATTTGTTGTATTTAAGAAGGTCATGGCCATTGTGAATTGATGGCTAAGTATTGCATTCTGTACCTGAACCGTTGTGATTTGGTACCAACATTCATGTGATGTGTTCTGTATTGGTATCTAAAAATACAGTTTTGGTTTTGAGATTGTGAGATCTGCCTTTAACACAATGGAATCACGGTACTTGGACAGCTTTAATTATGCAGTTACTGTTGGATTAGTGATTCAGGAAGATTTCAGTGTGGGCATAATGTGGTTTTGGAAGATACAGAAATATTCCTGTACAGTAAGTGGAGTCTGCTCACCATTTTCTAGTCAAGCTCAGTAGAATATTTATTGTAGCCTTTAGAGCATGTCCGAATTCACCAGATTAATAATTACTTTTTGGTTTGGGAATGTAGCAAAGTGACTTTTAAATACTTTGAATTTCTGATTTTGAGTTGGGGCAGAGTACCCTGAGGCAAGAACATTTCTTTGTTGTGTGGTACCTTATATACAGTTTAATGTAGACTAGTAGGTTAGAATTGACGTCTGTGGTTTTCTTTTTTGTGTTGGAAATGTGTTTCATGGGCTGAAGGCTTCAGTACTTCAGTGTTTCGTGTTTTTTCCTCTATGTAA